CTTGCATCCCGCTGTACTCCCCCGCTCCACGCCGACTCAAGAGACTGTGTGTGTGTGTGTGTGTGTGTGTGTTTAGAGAGGTTCAGGGTTGTAAGCACTTTTACTGTCTGGTCCCCAAAGCTGAGGGCCTGGAATGTGTCCCGGACTTAATTAAGATGGCAGACAGTGTAAAACGCACACACACATAAAGAGAAAGAAGAGAAAAGGACAAGAAGATGATCACCCTGACATACCTGTTAATAAACAGACAAAATAAATCAAATTTCACACAGACTCATAGACTGTAATAGGCTCAGAGTGTTTTTTTTTCTATTGAGAATGTGAGTTATATATATGCACACTACTGGTGAGAGGTTTGGAATCACTAAGATTTTGTAACGATTTTGAAAGAAGTCTCTTAGGCTTACCAAGGCTGCATTTATTTGGTCAAAAATACAGTAAAAACAATAATAGTATGAAATATTGTTAAAATTTTAAATAACTTTTTTCTATTTTAATATATTGTAAAATGTCATTTATTTCTGTGATCAAAGCTGAATTTTCAGCATCATTACTCCAGTCTTCAGTGTCACATGATCCTTCAGAAATCATTCTAATATGCTCATTTGCTGCTCAAGAAACCTTTCTAATTATTATCAATGTTGAAAGCAGTTGTACTGCTTATTATTTTTGTTGGAACCATGACGCATTTTTTCAAGAGTCTTTGATGAATAGACCATTTAAAACATTATTATTTGAAATTTGTAATGTTATAAATGTCTTTACTGTGATTTTTGATCAATTTAATGCATCCTTGCTGGATAAAAATATCAATTTCTTAATATTCTTAATACAAACCTTTGAATAAACAGTGTGTGTTTATATAAAATAGACTAAAACAATATAATGAGCAGTATTTGTGCATGCAGGCTGCAGAACAAACTGTTTTTATAGCTGAAAGTGAAAGTGTTTTTAACTGGTTGTCAAACTCTTCCTTGCTTAAACTTTCTGTAGTGGTCATCATGCTCTTTTGCAAGAAAATATTCATTTTTAGGTTAATTATCCCTCATTTTGTTCCAAACCAGCGTAACTATTTTTTTCAGTACAACACTATACAAGACATTTTGAATGTTCACAGTTGAAATGAATGGTAACTAGGGGGAGTGTTTTTTTTTCTATTGAGAATGTGAGTTATATATATGCACACTACTGGTGAGAGGTTTGGAATCACTAAGATTTTGTAACGATTTTGAAAGAAGTCTCTTAGGCTTACCAAGGCTGCATTTATTTGGTCAAAAATACAGTAAAAACAATAATAGTATGAAATATTGTTAAAATTTTAAATAACTTTTTTCTATTTTAATATATTGTAAAATGTCATTTATTTCTGTGATCAAAGCTGAATTTTCAGCATCATTACTCCAGTCTTCAGTGTCACATGATCCTTCAGAAATCATTCTAATATGCTCATTTGCTGCTCAAGAAACCTTTCTAATTATTATCAATGTTGAAAGCAGTTGTACTGCTTATTATTTTTGTTGGAACCATGACACATTTTTTCAAGAGTCTTTGATGAATAGACCATTTAAAACATTATTATTTGAAATTTGTAACGTTATAAATGTCTTTACTCTGATTTTTGATCAATTTAATGCATCCTTGCTGGATAAAAATATCAATTTCTTAATATTCTTAATACAAACCTTTGAATAAACAGTGTGTGTTTATATAAAATAGACTAAAACAATATAATGAGCAGTATTTGTGCATGCAGGCTGCAGAACAAACTGTTTTTATAGCTGAAAGTGAAAGTGTTTTTAACTGGTTGTCAAACTCTTCCTTGCTTAAACTTTCTGTAGTGGTCATCATGCTCTTTTGCAAGAAAATATTCATTTTTAGGTTAATTATCCCTCATTTTGTTCCAAACCAGCGTAACTATTTTTTTCAGTACAACACTATACAAGACATTTTGAATGTTCACAGTTGAAATGAATGGTAACTAGGGGCTGTAAAGCTCCAAAAATGACACCATAAAAGCACCAAAAATTTGTCCATATGACCCATGCACTATATTCCAGGTTGTCTG